GTTGGCGAGTTTTTATTTAACAATCCAGAGATCGTACCCGAAGGATCTAGAAAGTAATCGAGGTTGATTTAGTAAAATCGTAACAATTCGTTATGTATTCATTTCGTTGCAATATATTGTTAAGATTTTGCTGAATCAACCTCGATGATTTTCTGAATACTTCTGGAAAGATCGCTGGATTGTTAAATTAAAAATCGCCAACTTAATTTACAGTTTCTTTCGTTATAAAGAAGCTATCTAATTTCCTTTATTTACTCAGTAATTCACAATTCAATTACAATGCACTTTACTAGTTACAATCACTTGTATAAAATTCGGAAAATTCGGAACTACTATTAGCTTCCGGGAGCACTGCTCATCTTCATTTTCCCACACTCTATGCAAACAGCCGGATATCAGCTCTAAACTGTTCCATTGTGCCCAGTATGCCCTCGCGATAGGACTTTCCGTAGCCATTTGTTCCTTACTTAGTCGTCTACTTACCTCCAACCCGTGCAATAATAATTTTGAATCTGGATCTTCTTGCTAGCATTTCCTTAAGTTACTTGCCTACCACTCTCCGCTTGCGTAACTTTCATTAGCCGGACATCTGTTATGTCTTCTTTACTCTCAGCTTTTGAGCAATGTTTACATTCTATATTACATGGTCGACGGGACATAGCGTCAGCATTTCCGTGCGTATTCCCCTTGCGGTGCTCGATTGTGAAGTCATAACTTTGCAGCCTCTCAATCCACCGTGCTAGCTGGCCTTCGGGCTTCTTGAACTGTAGTAGCCACTTCAACGCTGCATGATCCGTTCTAACTCGGAAATGTTGACCATGCAGATATTTGTGGAAGTGTTTGATGAAATCCACCAAGGCTAATAGTTCTCTTCGTGTCACGCAGTAATTTCGCTTTGGTTTACAAATAGACCGGCTATAGTAAGCAATTACCTTCTCCTGCCCATCGATCTCTTGCGAGAGTACACCTCCTATGCCATACCCACTTGCATCTGTGCCCCGAATAAATGTTGCACTGGAACCGGGTACGCTAGCATAAGCGCAGTGCATAGCCGTTTTTTTAAAGATTGGAAGGCCTCCTCTTATTCAGTTTTCCACTCAAATGATCTATTCTTCTTTGTAAACTCATGGAGATTAAGAGCGACGCTGGCGAAATTCGGAACAAATCGGCGATAATAAGTGCACAGCTCAAGAAAGCTCTCAACTCATGCAAGTTCCTGTGTCTCGGCCAATCCTTCACTGCTTCTTTTTTTCCTTCGCAGTACAAACGCCTTCGTGGTTACTTGATGACCTAAGTAATTCATCTCCTTCTTGAATAAAGAGCACTTCTTAGGCGCCAGCTATATTCTCTTTAACACTTCTTCCAAATTACGCATATGTTCATCGAAGCTTTTCCCCAATACGATGATGTCGTCCAGATACACCAAACAAGTCTTCCAGTGTAATCCTTTGAGCACATGGTCCATTAGTCTTTCAAACGTGGCAGCAGCGTTGCATAACCCAAATGGCATTACCGTAAATTACCATAGAACGTTGCCAACACTAAAGGCTTTATCTTCTTCACTCATTTCCACTTGCCAATACCCGCTCTTAAGGTCGAGTGTTGAGAACCATTCTGTGCCAGTTAATGAGTCTAGTGTATCATCGATCCTGGGCAAAGGATAGCTGTCCTTCTTTGTGACATCGTTTAATCTTCGATAGTCCACGCAGAACCGCAACTGGCCATCTTTCTTCTTCACGAGTACTACCGGAGAGCTCCACGGTCTTGCGGATGGCTCGCTAACACCGCTTTCGCTCATTTAACGTTTGGCTAGTGGAACGCTTCGAGGAGCTTGACGATTTGATCTTGCGCCACCCGTATCGATGTAATGTTTCACTGCGTTGGTCCTGCCATCCTTGTCTTCCAACCCTTGCGTCCAAACATTTATTTCTTTCTTCATGTCCTTCCTGCTAATGGAGTCGTTTTCCGATGAGTCATTGATGATGGCCTCCACTTCCTTACATTGCTCTAATATAGTGCCTCCAGGAACCTTTACTGTGATATGAAGTCATTTAATACTCTCACTGGGATGCGTGCGTTCTTTTCCGTCTTAGCCAGGGTTTTACCAATAAGTATGTCTGGTGTAGAGTCTTGTGTTGCTTCGACAGCCCACAATTTGCTTGTCCCACAATCTCCATTAATTTTTGCCCACACAACCGCTTCTGACTTTGGTGAAATCAGCTCGCTGCCTTCTAAGATCACTTGCTTGCTGCTGTGCGTGGAATTGTAGCCAATGCTTAGTGGTACCTCCATGTTCTTATATTCCATAATGTTGTTATTCAAGTCGATCTTGATACCTTGATCCATCAAGAAGTCCACTCCTATGATTACCTCATCTACAAACTGCGCGACGATTAAGCTGTGTATCACCGTCACATTACCTACTGTGACCTCACACGTTACTTCCCCCACCACTTGGCTATCCTCACCAGTCGCCGTTTTCAATATTGTGAACGCTCCGAAGGTAAAAACACCATCTTTTGTCGTGAAAATCCCGTTTCAAGTTTTTAAGCTCCAATTTGCGAAGACAGCTGAAACAAACGACTGGAGCATAGGGGAAAAATCCGTTGCACTATTCGTTGCGTTGGAAGGACCTGCAGCCGAACTTTCCAAACTATATCCGTAAACCAGAGAAATGATTATGACGGATGATGCAAGCCCTGGAAAGACGCTATGGAAGCGAACACAGAAGACAGATTTACCAGATGGAGTTAGAAAAGCGCGACCAAAAATCCTACGAATCTCTGCAGGAATTTGCTTCGGAAGTTGAGAGATTGGCTCCTTTACCCATTGGAGACAGATCGAGAGAGCATCTTGAAAGTTACAAAGGTTCATCAGCGGAATAAAAGACGTGTACACCAAGGGAGCGACATACGCGAATCCAAAGTTGACATTCGCTGAAACTGTTGCGTATGCACAAGCACGTGAAACGGCTCCACTCATAAGCAGACCATCTTACAAAGTCAATAAAGTAGAGGTTGAAACACAGATGCGATGTTGGAAATATTGAGAACTCTGCTAGAAGGGATGAATCCTTCTGGTTTCAAGACTCAAGCGGGGAAATGCTTAAAATGTAGAAAGCCTGGTCAATTCGCACGCGAATGCAAAACAAGTTTCAGCAGACGACCAAGTATGGAACAAATGGCTGCGGAAAGCTCCTTCGCGAAGGCATACTGGGCACAATGGAACAGTTAAGAGCTGATATCCGGCTGTTTGCATAGAGTGTGGGAAAATGAAGATGGCAAGTGTTCCCGGAAGCTAATAGTAGTTCCGAAGTAAAGAATTCCGGATGTTCTTAAGGAATTCCATAACGGTCCTAGTGGAGGGCACTAGGCATTACAAATACGCTGGAAAAGATCAAGCAGCGGTTCTATTGGGTTGGCTGTCGGCAATCGGTCGCCGAGTGGATTTCTAATTGCAAGGAGTGCATAGCAGCTAAAGGGCCAAAGTCCCGAAGTCATGGGCAGATGAAAAAGGTGCGCCTATAGAATTGCATCAGATCAGGAAAGAAACTTTGAATCGGCGGTGTTACAGGAGATGTGCCAAATACTTGGTATTCGAAAAACCCGAACGACAGCCCTACATCCTCAATCAGATGGTATGGTAGAGCGATTCAACCGGACCCTGGAAGAGCACTTGCGGAAAGTAGTGGACAAGCATCGGGATGATTGGGATGTGCATATACCGCTTTTCCTGATGGGATATCGGCCCGCCGTGCATGTAACTACAGTGCAAACACCTGCGAGGATACTGTTTGGGAGTGAACTACGGTTGTCCAGCGATTTAAAATTTGAAATATCTGGCGATGCGAGAAGAATTGGGAAGGTAACGTCTACCGATCTCGAGGAAAAGCTAAGAGAGGTACGTGCTCTTGTGAGACAGCGAACTCAATTTATGAGTGACAAAATGAAGGCCAGGTATGACAAGGCAATGAACTCCGAGGGTTTCCAAAATGGAGATTTGGTGTTTTTATTTACAATCCACAACGGCAGAGGGGTTTATCGCCAACACTTTTATGTAATTGGGAAGGTCCATACAAGATAATCAAACGACTGAACGACGTAGTGTATCGAATCCAAACCGTTGGGAGTCCAAGAAACAAGATGAAAGTGCTCCACCTGGAGAGGCTTGCTGAGTTTGGAACAGCGAATGTGTCTGATCGGGACGATCAGACTTTGGTGTTGCGAAAATGCGAGGCGAATGTCTGATGAGAGAAAGAAGCCAATAACTAGTACATTCTAGAACGATAAAACGAGAACCTTCGATAGCGAACAACTCGATTATTCTCACTTTCGTCTACAAGCAGCCGACTGCTATATAAGGGCGATACTTAGCTGCCAAGTAAGTTAGTTACAAAGTGAACTCGTTTGCGACAACATAGAGTATAGCGGAATAAACTATTTGAGTCGTAAAGTAAACGCGGTGTAGATGACATTTAAGTAAAGTAGATTGTGAAAGTCCTGTACAAGTTAGCGCCAAGTAAACACAAAGTTATCACCGCTTATCCATGCCGTTAGAGACGGTTGTTCTTCAGAAACCAACGAATATTTGATTTTTTTCGTAAAACTGTCTGGGCTAATTATTCGTTGCTATACAAGGTTGCCAGTATTGCCTTTCTTGGAGTAACTTTAAATAATCGAAAAAAATGCGTAGTTTTTTTCAAAAGCAATGAAAACTAAATTCGTAACTAATTATTTGCAACCATATAGATGATGTATATTTGTCTTGCGTTTATATTTAAGCACATAAATCATGAAATTCCTTGACGAAATTTATGAATTTGTTGACAACAAATCGCCGCTCTCAGCAGCGTCGATGACTGCTGCAGGTATCTTGACTTGACGTCGACAGTTATGGACGGCGGTATGTGAGTTGGGTAATTGCAGCATAAGCCTTTACTGTACGATAATGTATAACCAACTTTACAAAAGACTATATGGCAGCACTGTTTTAATGTTATGAATGCTTTTAAGTTGAGCATGTTAGTGATCCGTTCTGAGGGTCTGAAATTTGGCATTTGTTTGTAATGACAAGTTTTTATTGTTAATTTTAAAAATTCTTTTAAGTAACAGTGATAAACGTTGAAAAAAATAATTGCGAAAATTGGAGAAAAGTGTTATTTTCTAAGGTAAAAAAATGTAGGAGTGGAGCGTGTCGATTGTTCGGCGATTGCTGTAGCGCCTAATACCGACTGGATATCGGCGGTGAATTTTTTCTAGTTGTTCAATTGTGACTAATATTCCTTTAACATATGATTGTTAAGCGTTTTTTATTTATTTATTTATTTATTTAAAAAAGATCGGTGTTAACCCTCAAAAGTAAGAATCTGAGTAAAAAATATCTATTAATTTAACACAATTTGATACAATTTTGAAGGTGATATTCGACACAGAAGTCTTTCATGCCGCATATGTGCTCAATTAAGAACGTTAAGGTAGATCTCAATGAATTAGTAGTCGTGGTTCATTCTGATTTCGTGTTTTTTAATGAAATAAGAAGTTTTTCACCAAGTTTTATAAATTTTGGGTTACTTTACTGGAGAGCGGCTTTTGCTAGAACTGTCCAAAAATTATGAGGTTTTTGGCTAAATAGGTTTACTTGATAATTATCTATATTAACATTTAAAGTTACACTAAAATTACTAGTACACACATTACATACACATACATGGCTAAAGCGATGTTGTTGTTGTTGTAACCGAAAAATTATTTCCCAAAGGACTTTTTGAAGGATATTGCGGGATCACTCGTCCTTGGCCGAATAAAAATCCGGGTCGTTCCGGTATAAAAACCCGACTGTCTAGGGAACCATTAGATTTTGGTCGCCTCTTACTACAGGCATGCATTACTGCGGGTAAACTCTTTAGGATTGGATTGAGTATTTGTTACATATTCATTCCGTTGCAATGTATGAACATAGGCTGCAACTACCCTTTTCACTTACCAGCCGTTTATAAGTGGCGACGAAAGGGCGAGATACATACACGAGTTATCGACGCTGCTGAGAGCGGCGAAATGTTGCCAGCTGCCAGTATGTTTGCACACTTTTGAACAAATTCATAATTTCCTTCAACGAATTTCATAATTTATATGCTTGAATATAAACAAAACAAATATACATAATCTATATGGTAACAAATAATAAGTTCCGAATTTAGTTTTCATTGCTTTTGAAAAAAAACTACGCATTTTCTTCGATTATTTAAAGTTACTTTAAGAAAGGCTATAAGCTTGTGTAGCAACGAAAAGTGAGCCGAGCCGGTTTTACGGAAAAAATCAAATCTTCGTTGGTTTCTGCGGAACAACCGCCATGGGCAAACGGTGACAACTTTGTGTTTACATGGCGCTCTCATAAGATAGGTTACTATCGACGGCTGGTACGCGCGTTGGGTAGTTGCAGCATTAAGCTGCTATACAAGGTTGCCAGTATAGTCTTGCTTAAAGTAACGTTAAATAATCGAAGATAATGCGTAGTTTTGTTCAAAAGAAATGAAAAATAAATGCGCAACTAATTATTTTTTTACTATATATAGATCATGTATATGTGCCTTGTGTTTATGTTCAAGCAAATAAATTATGAAATTTGTTGACGAAAATTATGAATTAGTTCAAAAGTGTGCAAACACACAGGCAGCTGTCAACATTTCGGAGCACTCAGCAGCCTAAGGCTGCAACTACCCATTTCACTTACCAGCCGTCCATAAGTGGCGACGAAAAGGCGAGATAAACACACGAGTTATCGACGCCGCTGAGAGCAACAAATAATTAGTTACGCATTTATTTTTCATTTCTTTTGAACAAAACTACGCATTATCTTCGATTATTTAATGTTACTTCAAGAAAGGCTATACTGGCAAACCTTGTATAGCAACGAAAAATGAGCCGAGCCGGTTTTACGGAAAAAATCAAAACTTCGTTGGTTTCTGGGGAACAACCGTCACCAACGGTATGGGAAACTTTGTTTATATGGCGCTCTCATAAGATAGGTTACTATGGGCGGCTGGTGAGTGTACGGCGCGAACTGACGACGTTGAAACGAGATAAACGCACGAGTTATCGACGCCGCTGAAAGCGGAGAAATGTTGCCAGCTGCCTGTGTGTTTGCACACACAGAATTTATTTGCTTGAACATAAACACAATTCAAATATACATGATCTATATGGTAACAATAATTAGTTACGCATTTATTTTTCATTTCTTTTAAACAAAACTACGCATTTTCTTCGATCATTCAATGTTACTTTAAGAAAGGCTATACCTTGTATAGCAACGAAAAATGAGCCGAGCCGGTTTTACGGAAAAAATCAAAACTCCGTTGGTTTCTGCGACACAAACGTCACCAACGCTATGGGAAAGCGGTAATAACTTTGTGTTTACATGGCGCTCTCATAAGATAGGTTACCATGAACGGCTGGTACGCGCGTTGGGTAGTTGCAGCCTTATTCCGCCTTGTGGCAGCATGGGTTCTGCTGATAGTAACAGACACTTAGGCTGCAACTACCCAACGCGCGTACCAGCCGTCCATAGTAACCTATCTTATGAGAGCGCCATGTAAACACAAAGTTGTCACCGATTTCCCATAGCGTTGCTGACGCAGAAACCAACGAATATTTGATTTTTTTCGTAAAACTGTCTGGGCTAATTTCTCGTTGCTATACAAGGTTGCCAGTATAGCCTTTCTTAAAGTAACATTAAATAATCGAAGATAATGCGTAGTTTTGTTCAAAAGAAATGAAAAATAAATGCGTAACTAATTATTTTTTACCATATAGATCATGTATTTTTGCCTTGTGTTTATGTTCAAGCAAATAAATTATGAAATTTGTTGGCGAAAATTAAGAATTTGTTCAAAAGTGTGCAGCTGGCAACATTTCTCCGCTCTCAGCGGCGTCGATAACTCGTGTATGTCTTTCACTACTGACGTCGTCAGTTATGGACGGCTGGTGAGTGAGTTGGGTAGTTGCAGCCTTATACACCCTTTTATTTACTAAAGTAAACAAACGTGAGATTGCATATGTTATGTGTAAAAATGATGGAAAATATTAATATTATGAATAAATTAAGAAGAAAGACATTGGGCATTATTAAGAGCGATATTGAAGTGTTCCGTGTTATTACGTTAGCTTTTATTTGGGAATTTCGATTGGCCAAAATATTAACTTTAACAACAAATTTCTCGAAAACTTTAAAGTTTCTCCTGGGAACGACATCTATTTTTGTGGTGTGTATGACCTAGTCTAACACAATAAAAATATATAATTTTTTTTTAAGTCTGGCGCATCCTCGCGAATACGACCCCCAACTTTTTAAATTTGCCTATATTAAAAAAAAATATTTAAAATCACTTTTTGCACATGTATAAATATATTAAAAACTTTTAAGCAAAACGAGGAAAATTAAAGAAAATGGGTTTTATGATAATAAAAAGTGCTTAATTAACTCTATTTAAAAAAATGATTAATTGAGTGCAGGATAAAATTACTTTTTATTTGATCTATAACTTGTTATAAGGAATATCTGTGCTTATTACTTTTAATTTGAATTGGTAAAAAAAACGTCAGTAAACGAAGCCAGTGTTGGCCCTTCTCAGGGTAATTTTTTTGAATGCGGCCAAAAGCCGCCATTACAAACAATTTTCCCGTAAGAATATTGTGCAAGGCGTAGACGTTGTGGTTTCCGGCTCGGGATTACACTGATAGTTAAAACAATAATAGCATATGGAGCTGTTGGATAATCGGAAAGGGCAAAGTTAAACACGGCCAAAGCTGCATAGACTAGTGTGCGTCTGTATAACTGGATGCATGGGGACGTATCCTACAGCAGCACTATTACCAACATCTAGTAATTTGCAGTGATGTTCAAGCAACACTGACTGTTAAGAATATCAAAAGGTTGGACGAACGGAGCAAAGTTCAGTTCATCTGAGTAACGGGACACACAGTTATTGAAAGAAATGAAATAGTAGATAGACTCATAAAAAAGCTGCATTAATCTCTCCTAGTGGACCTTAGTCGGGTCAGACAACGAATTGACTGTAGGCGAGACCTTGGTTGTAACAAAAGGAGAGGCTTAAATCCCTGATTAGGGCATTCCCAGGATCGGAGCTACGAATGGTGTCGCGTCCTTATATTAAAACCGCCGCTTCTGTCCGAAAATTGGGGCGGATTTCAGCAATTCGGTCTGCCGGGATGAAACGGCGGCAACGGTCACGACAATCGTGCGGAATGAACAATCGCCAGAAGTGACGTGTGATGGATTGAGGAGAGTATTGAAGGCCTTCTTGGTAAATTCCGCGAAATTGGACCAGTTAGCTTTTTTGAAAGTTAACAAATTTTTCTTGATCCGCTGAAACAAAATCGGGATGTCTGCTAATCAAGATTTATATGTCAGTGTCAGTATAGGTCGCCAGAATATACTGTTTATCGTACCAGCACTCGCAATTGTTATATCTGGCGAGATTTGGATTTGGAATTACCCGAAACTTTGGTGCGGGTGCTGTCTTACATTCTGCAAAATCTCAAAGCGTCATATACAAGTGGTGTTCCCGATCAATATTTTTTAAGTACCCAGAAGCGCGGCACTATTATTTTATTTGATGGTCCTAGAGGTCCAGAGCTAAGAGTCATGCAGCGGATTTTTGGAGGTGGAAACCATAACATGTTTTTGATTTGATAAGCATTTATGTAAAATAGTTCCTGTAACGAATTGTTTTGTTCTTGCCATTCCTCGTTGTGCTTTTAGCTTATTTTGTTAAGTTGTGATGGTGCTTTTCTTCCATTTTAACATAATAGAAATGTCCCTTGTCAATTAGCGCCAAAGCTCAGTAAAAGAATTGCATAATCCTTAATGCAACAGACAAAATTCTAAAGTTTGCCTTCCGACATATTGTGTCGTTAAAAGTTATGGAATCAATTATATTATTTTTTTAAAAAATATTTAACTCCTAATTTGAAAACATATTGCTCACACCTTTCTCTTTAGAAAGGAAATTATTAAAACAGAAAAGATTACCAATGGTGAGTTTCAAGAGGCAATATAAATAAATATTGTGTGCAGTGTAAATGCATTTTTTTTAAATTTATAATAAACTTTAATCGATTGTGTAGTTTGCATTTGGTTGCATGGCCT